GATGTTGGTCCAGAGCGGCCGCGACCTCTCACTGCCGGCCGAGAGAGCGCTACCCGCTGCACGCCCGGCTGAACACGCCTCCTTGTCGCATTCAAACGGACGCTATTTGCCCACCTTCCTCCATTAAACCAGCGCGTGTGCCGAGAAAACTACTTCGGCCGCACATCGGTTCGCTAGCCGATCGACATTAAACACAACGCTGGTTGGCTCCGGGCCTCCACACGCTATTTAAACAATGCCAGCCGCTGTGCAAACAATCACACCACACCTCCGCTCCCCATCTCCTCCTTGCATCATTCTCTCCGCACTCTCCATGGCATACGGCGAGCAGGAAAAGGAGTTCTCTGCATAAAAGCCGGCTGGTGGCCCGCCGAGTCTGCTAGAAACGAGTCAATCAACTCTGCTCCACCTCCCTCGCCGCTCCAGGCCGCTGTAGGCCAGCTTGTGGAGGAGGCCGCTCCAAGCCAACGCGTGATTCAGCAAACTCGCCGCTCCAAGCCACCTCGTTGTGGGGTGGCGAGTTGCTCCAGGCCGACACGCGGGAGAGCATGACAGCACAGGCATCGTGGCTGCCATGGATGAGGCCATGTCGTACCGCTTCTCCCGTGCCTGCGACCGCGTCATCCGCCGCCAACATTGGTGGAACCGCGCCCTGACGGCGTAGAAAGAAGCCGGCTTCACGGATATCGACAATGCGGCGGCCAACACGTCTGCGTCTGCCACCATCAACGACAAAAATTAGAACATGGGAGGCCGTCTCCGCTTGGGTCCAACGAAGGCCACCGTCACGGCATCGCCAGCGTGCACAGCTGGTGACTTGCCCAGTCGCAGGGCATCATTGCCCCCCCCCCCTACCCCCAAACCAGCCCTCATTCATACTTCACGGAAGCGAAGGGCACCATTCCCCTCCGGCAGACTCGTATTGTCCGGTGCCACTCCAATGAGCGGCACTGCCGAACAAGGGGGAGCGGTCATTTGCGCTGAAGCATATACCTCTGGGGTCACGGTAGTCCGATAAGCGGGCTATCGGACATGAGAAAGACAAGGAAGATCCATCGCGGCTGGCCGTAGATTAGTTTAAGGTATCCATATCATGGGAATGGATGTCCGCGAGCAACGGCCGTAGACTAGTTTTACTTTAGTCCGGCACAGTTTTTAATTAAAATATGTCTGAAATGTAAATGTTCTTGTCTGGTTGGTATGAATATCATCCGGTTTGAATGAAGTTTGTCCGGTTTGTTTAAACAATGCATGAAATGTATGCGGGCAGCGTTGGATAGCTGGCTTCCGCATGCGTGTCCACGGATTGGTCTTCACCTTTTCGTGAGTGCGGAAGTAAATTTACGGGTCAGCGTTGGAGATGTCCTGATACTTCTACTTTTTTTTTTTGCTCATCCGCCTTCAGGGTATTAAAGAAAAATGCCTACAATACTAACTGATCTTTGCATGGGTCACTCTCAGTCTTAGTGCTCACTTCGGACGCTCCGTTCCAGCACCTTCAGAAGAGTCGACCTCATCATCTCTTAGATCTTGCCCCCCAACTCCGCTAGACTCTCAGGCTAGACAAACCAAATACGTAGCAATCATGTGACCGGGTGAATAAAAGTTTTATACCACCTCTGTTCACCCTTTTTATAAGACCTTGAAGACATTTCAGACAGGATGCAAAGTAGTTCATTTTTAGTTGTAACGACTTATAAAAGTGAACGGAGGGAGTACTAGTAACTATTAAGACCTACACCCACTTATGTACATCATGCAATGATAAGAATGAGGCCGGCTAAATGATACAACTAAGCTGCTTGACCGAGTCCTATGAAAGTATCAACCACAGAGAAGTACCTATCTGTTTTTTGGTAACCCGTAGCTGATCACAACCACAGATGACCCCAGGTGAACAGTAAAAGGTGAAAAAACAAGCATGTCTTGTGAAAATCTCAGCAGAGTGACATTTCTTCCGTATCTCTAATACTATGTAAATATGCAGTTCTATTACATGGCTTGAAAGTTGAAACAGAAAAGTCTAGAATCAGTTATCGCTCACATGACACGAACTGCAAGGCTCCACAACAATCAAGTTGACATTACAGGGTACTTGGGGCTTGATGCGTCTTCTTATAGCCACGAGCGCTTTCTGGGCTTGTAGGACATCACGCGTGTCCATGGAGAAGCACCTGCCGCTTCTGCATGAGGAACACCTAGAGTAACCATAGGTGGTGTCCAGCGTCAGGCACTCAAGCGAAGCCGTGTGCTTCAGCATACGACAGGTTAGCTCAATCAAGCTTTCAGCAGAGTAAAAACTATAGATCGTCACATTCTTGAGGCTGCCATGGCGAAATTCTTGCTCCCGCGTCAAATGTGAAACATCACAATGAATCCTACCGTAGCCTCTGTTAACACAGTTCATAATCCTCGCTGACTGCAAGGACACAATATGCTAATGTCAACTACTTCTCACGAAATGACAATAGTTCTAGATGAACCGTCTGAAATAAAAATGGGCTCAACGACAAGATTAGCATGAGATGCGCCTTATTTATGTATGTTACTAAATACTCCACTTGTTCATAAATAAATTATGTTCTGAGCATCGTTACAATCTCAAATATGCATGTTTGACCGTTACTTTACATACAACTATTTTAATATAAAAAAATTGATATTGTGTGATCCCTGACAAATCTAATGGAACAACTGTAACCTGACCGGTCAAAATGGTTTACTATATCGAGGAGAGTTGACAAAGTTTGATTGCAAGCTTTTTAGGTGTCTTGTATTTATGAAAAGAGATACTGTTATTTTCTAAATTACTTAGAAGTGAAAATAGAAACCTATGATCAGCTAAAGACAATAGGCATGACAATCAGAGCTATTTAATAAACAGACTTTGTAAAGAAACAGTAATAATACTCAATTGTTAAATCAATGGCTATATAACAGGACTTACCCTCAAGACGAGAGTCTCCAAGGCAGGAGAAGCGTCAAGAAAAGCTAACAGAGACAAATAATCATATTCATCTACTGCCGAGACAGCGGGAAGAGAAATATTCAAGTACTTGAGGTGGTGGAATTTTCCGGGCACCATTGGTGTGCTCACCTGCTGAAGAAAGAGGTGCCGAGATTAGTATGTCCCCTGATATAACAACTCCTCGCAGAACCAAGGAATTTAAGTTTAGAGGATCCGCTGGAGATGCTCTTATTATGGAATACAAAACCAAGGAATTGACGGTCTAAAGTCTCAGATTATGCATACCTCGTGTGGCAACAACGATATGTTAAGGACTTCAACACCGGGTGTGATTGATGGAAGCTTGCCGAGAGCATAACTTGGGGATGCAGGTGATATTCGGAGCTGCTTCACTTGAGATGAACCGTCTCCCAGTGAGACTGAGAAATCCACTTGGTCGCCAAGTCCAAGGTCGACACTAGAGATATCTGGGGCATTGCTCTCAATTGCATGTAGCATCTCACACTCAAACACCTCCACGGACCTGAGGTGCCGCAGCAGGCAAGGTATCTTCAAGCAGATGATCTCACCACAACAAGAGAGTAGCAGATGCCTCAAAGCCAAAAGAATTAGAAAGGAAGTACCCCAACTCATCGTCGCCGATGCGCACGGACCGCAGGTGCAATCTCGTCAGGCAACCAAGTCCGGCGGTGGGATGGAAACTAGAATTGGTGAGTTTAAGATACCGAATCGACCGCCCGCTCTCGCCTGATAAAAGCAAGCACGGGAAGTTGTAGTCTGTTTTGCAGTGCCGGAATGAGGGCAGCATCACGGTGAGTTCTTGGATACCGGGTGCAATGGCAGTCTTGAGGAACCTGTCGACGTAAGAGGTGTCGAGTCTGTTCCAGTTCCAGGGGAGGTGAAGCTCAAGCGTCTTCACTCCGATGCCTGAATGATTTCCAAAGATATGGTCAATTCTGCTTAGAAGATCCATTGCTCCTTCGTCCACCGTGGCTGCTTTTCCAATCAAACCGAGTTGTTTCATACCGAAGGTGAGATTGGGATAGTGTCTCCAGGAACGTCGAAATGACCGAGACACGCACGCAGCAAGTGCGGCGTCTCGCAGCGGCATTAGGGCATGTATATGATGCACGACATCCTGCAGGCAGAAGCAAGGGAGGAGAAATCAGCATTGGCATTGTAAAATCAGAATGATGGCATCAATAATCAGTAATGGGGCAAAAAGAAAAAACGATCCATATGTAGTGGCACTACAATCTTATGTTAAGAAAGTGGACTAGAACATGACTGTGGTCAGTAGCTGGTTAGAGATGGTTCATGTTTACTTCTACAGTAGGACGATGGCATCACTGGGCTAATAGTGCAACATTCTTCTGGAACACAAACTTGGTGTGGTTAACCAACTGAAATAAACATGTACTGTAGCAAGCTTGACATCCGTCTGGATATTTGGCACCCCACTAACTAGGTCTAATTAAGACGAGAAACAATGTTGCAATTCCTTTGACCAAACAGAACTGGAATAGTCTCGGAGCATAATGTACAGTCAAAGCAAACAATTTCTCCCTCCGTCCGGAATGATAAGACGTTCTAACTTTTCTCTGAATCGGATGTGTATATAGGCGCGTTTTAGTGTGTTTGTTTGCTTGTTTCAGTCTATATTTTGTCTATTTTGGAACATCCAAAACATCTTACAGTGGCGAACGAAGGTAGTACGTACCTCAGAAAGGCTGTTCCATGATGAGTTGATTCCGTTGTGAGAGTTTGAACCAGTGCCGTCGTCGTCGTCGTAATCGTCGTCATATTGTTGGTAGGGTGGGCACTTCCGTTTAACTGCCGAGGAGCCCGAGTCGCCTGAAATACAGTGACCCTGAGGGGTTATAATTGGGAACATACGAGAGTAACAACATCAAGATTACGGCACCCCGCCGTGGCGTCACCGAGATCCAGAGGTTTTAGCTCTTGGGCAAGGGCATCAACAGTTTTTTTTTTGGCGAAAGAACAGTTTTTAGAATCGCTAGGTCGCAGGGTCAAATCCACACCCACGATTGTAGGAGTTGGAAACCCTCCAAATTCTACAATACCTACATCTACATGACTCGAGGATCAATTGATAACAAATTAAGAGGCCGAGGCAAGGAAGAGCTAGCTTACCGCGGGATTGGGTGGACTCCACCATGCCCGGCACGATCAAGGGCGACCACCGGAGAGGAGGAGGGGAGGAGATCGCGGCGAGGAGCCGCACGCTTTGGCTGCCCGCGGTTCCCTCGTCAAAACTAAACTGAAAGGCGCTTGTACCCCATCGATGCGATCCACTTTATATTACTAGCAAAAATGTCCGTGTGTTGCAACGGAAAAAGAAAAAAACCATACTTCCTAAACCCAATAGCTCAAGACCCTTCCCTCTCCTCCTCCTCCCATGACCGACTGCCAGACATGTCCTCCTCCTCCCACGACCGACTGCCAGACATGGTGACATTAGTAAACTCTTTGAAATCTTCCACACTACCACATGAGAAACAACATGAAAAGATGTGTTGTGCAAAAACATAACAACAAAAGGAATTTATAAGTGTACTATAAGTGTGTGCAATTTAAATCACAGAAATATCTACCTGGTCGCAAGTATCTCTTCACATATTTGTTGGCGTTGCTCAGTGATGCGGTGATGCCCCAAAAATATCACACTATAATAAAAATAGTAAAGTCTTAGGCTGCGTTCGGAAGTGCTCCGGCTCCACGCTTCTCCGGAAGCGGGCGAGGAGCTGGCCGAACGCCGCAGCTTCTAGAAGCCTGCTCCCGGAATCCGCTCGGCCCGCAGTGCAAAAAACAGAAGCTACGATCGCCCAGCTCCTGGAAAACGAGAAGTGGGAGTTGCTGGATATTACATGAAATGCCCTCCCGAAGTGCCTCCTTGAAGCACTTTCCTCTCGCTACAGGGCGCGGCGAACCGTTTTTCTCGCTACAGGGGGCGGCAAAGCGTTTTCTACAGCCGAACGATCGCTGGCTCCCACGAGAAGCTAGCTAGCGCTGGCTCGTGGAGAAGCTGGCTCGTTTGGGAAGCCAGAGCACTTCCGGACGGGCCCTTAGTATAGCATTCTTGCTTCACTACGGAGGCAACAAAGATTTTCATGAACCAGTGTGGGCTAGGTTTAGGGACTGGGTAGCATAGCACTATTTGTGTCCAATGATATAAGAAGCATTTTTTGCGGGGTAATGATATTAGAAGCATTTTTTGCGGGGCAATGATATTAGGAGCATTGTACAAAGATCCTCCATCGTTGGCTAATAGAACAAAGTAAAGTGTGGAGTTTGTGTTGCACACAGCAGGGAGTACGACTGCTTGTGCTTTGGTGATCAACATTATTTTTATTAGAAGGATTGTAAGAGTTTGTGATGGGCGCTAGCTGGTCGAGCAGAAAATTAAGAGCAAAAATTTGTTTTGTTCTCAGAAAAATATTGTATATGACCAACATAGAATGAATCATGTTTATTGTGATTTAGACATAGTATTTTTTTGTGCATGTTAAACAATTCCAACATAATTTGATTTTGAGTTATAATTTGACGTCAACAATTCAGATATAAAAAGTAGTTCAACTTTCCTGATGCCGTTGCTATCCATGGACGGAGACGTTTAGTGCCATTATATCCCCCATTTGGAGACCCTCCTTCTCTTTCCTTTTTTAGTTTTCTGTATTTTCCTTCCTTACTTAATTATATGGGACAACTTCCACTTTCCATTTTTTTCTCTGTCTACACATGAAATCGCCGCCCTGTTTCCTTCCTTATTCTGCCATGCGACATGTGAAATCCCTCCTCTTTCCATATGAAATCCCTGCCCTCTTTCCTCCCTTATTTTTCTCTCCTTCCTTCTTTATTCTGTCAAGAAACATGAAGTCCCTCCCTCTTGCCTTCTTTATTTTTCCCTCTTTCCTTCCTTATCTTTTATTATGGAAGGACTTATTTCCTTCTATATTGGGTCCCGAGACGGCTCCTTGATATCGAGAAAATTTGAAGATGTATATAAATTATAAAGATTGGGTTTAAGAGAACGGTATGGGACTATTTAAAAGGTGAATCAACAGCCTAAATGTAATACACCATGAGTTCTTTTTAAGGAAAATACACCATGAGCTATGTCAGTTGGTAGCGACACTGGTTATCGTATATGTAGTTCAGAGTTTGATTCAGCCCACCATCGAATACTTTTTTGCACCGGGTTGTGGGCCAGCTTCGCCCGTTCACTTGTGTAGCTTCCTTCGGCAAGGTGGGCCGGAATAATGTGGCCTGGCTGCTGAAAATCCTCTGATAGACTAAGAGAGGTAATCCTTGTTACTCTAAGCATAGGATGGGCCAGCTGAGTTGGACGCTCGATCTGTGCACTTTTCTTGCAACCCGTATTTGAGTCCTCATAATAGCAACTTTTTTTGTGTGGCCGTTTTTTGTCAGGCTTCATTGGGCCGCATGGGCCAGAACAATTTGACCAGGCATCGGTCAGGAAGGATCGATCGTTCCTGGGAAACCGATCGTGGGTGCTTGAGCAAAAAGAGCTAATATATGGGAACTTTATTTTAGTACCACCTCGCGTATGTGTTTAAAATTCAAACTGAAAGCGTAAATTCACAGAAAGAAGCGTATTGTGACGGTGAACCCACGGAGTCAATCCGTGCTTTATTACTAGGGAAAGATTTTTTTTCGAAATGGAGGCAAAAGATTTGCCTCATCGATTAATTAAGAAGAAGAGAATTACCCGGTTAATTAACGGAAAAACGGGCGAAAACCGATACATATAGATCACATGCGGACTACTCGCTAACAAAGAAACTCCATGACCTCACGGTCAACCCGACAAATATGCATAACACGCAACAACCACAAACCCTGGCACTTCTATGTCGCAAAGAAACCCTCAACAAAACCAATGTTGAATACATCAGACGCCAAGAAATCCACGGAGACGAGCCACTCGGAGATGGAGGACGAAGAGACTGAGTATTCTCCATTAAGCAGCCGCAGACGCCTTATCAATGGCGCCACTCTTCTTGCCTATGCTTCTGAGAGCCTTCTTCACCTTCTTTATTTTGTCTGTAGAAACCGAAACCTCATCCACGAGGAGGCAAGCAATCACGAAGTTGCCTCCAAAGAGTCGAGCAAACGGTCAAGCTTTTTCACGAAGACCACCTCGTCAATGCGTGCCAACATAGCGCCACGGTCAAAGATGGGCGACCGAATGGGCTTCGGTGCCTCAGAAGTAGCTGCCAAAGCGTCAACTTTATATTATATTACCTACGTATATGCGTGGCGTTGTAGTACCGTACAAACAGCTTTGCGTTACACACGTAGCAATTTGTGATTGGATGGTTAGGAGGACAGCAATATCTGTTGGGGAACGTAGCAGAATTTTAAATTTTTCTACGCATCACCAAGATCAATCTATGGAGTCATCTAGCAACGAGGGAGAGAGGAGTGCATCTACATACCCTTGTAGATCGCGC